GTGATAACTTCTTATAATTTTATAAAAGCCCATCAGGTTGTGAAAATCGAAATGTGAATTGCAGCTGTGAACATCATTTCTGCATATCTATTTTATTATATTATTTCATATGTGTCTATATTACTAATTTATTAGGTAGTTTTTACTTATATCTTATGGTCAAAAGTCAATAACCATTAGTTTTCTCAAGTACATTTGCTACTTGAGTACATAGGTCATCAATATTCAATTTTATTGTAAAAATGTATTTTAAAATATAAATCTTTGTTGCAATATTATGATGTGTCGATCCGATTAATTGTTACACGTCTCATATAAGATTTCGTGTTTACAAAATTATATTTCTAAAATCAAAAAATTACAAAATGATCCATCAATTTTGTGAAAAATTACATATACATATATTAGGAATAAGTGTGTGAACGAGTCGAGTCAGAAGTGAACATATGATACACAAGTTCAAGTTCAAGACCTTACAAGCTAACAATCGAGCTTGAGCTTAGTTTGTTTATTAATATTAAAGTGCTGAACTTAAGCTTAATGAGTCAAACTACAAAAAAGGATATAAATTAATTTTTTTTCGAGCTTGATTAGTCGACTGAGTCGTTCCCAATCCGTTAACGAACGAACTCAAACTGAAGATCGAATCATTGAACAAGCCGAGTCGAGCTCACGAACCGGTGATCTGATCTACTAACATAAGGTCAAAATGGACTATCAAATTCAATGACATGCTCGTGTCATAAATATTTTTTTTTATTATTATTTTAAAGAAAATTAATGGGTGAGAAGTGTTGTAATAAATCTCCAAAACAATTTGAAAATGGAAAAGGAATCATAAGTCACGGGTTGACTTTCTGCAATTGGCCGACCACTGTGATTGTTGAGGTGATATTTTATTTTATTTTTAGTGAAAATAGTGACATTTATTATGGATGATATGATAAATGCTCTATCGAGAGATGAGCAACGCACAAAGTGGGTTGATTTAGACGTATTTTGTGCTCGGTTGAGATCATATTTGATACTACACTCACTACTTCAAATTGCCACTATTTAATAATATTTCTGCTTTCAATTATTATTTTTCGTAGTCCGTCACGGTATCCGGATCTTTGTCCCGACTAATCTGTTGGTCGACTCGGGTCTCACACCTGACAATAGTGGTTGAGTCTCACAACAAGAATTTTCTGCATTCACAAAGACTCGAATCAAAACCTTACTTAAACAAAATCAAACTACTTACCACTTGAATCAACCCTGTTGGTATGCTTTCAATTTTTAATCATGTGTTGATTGACATAAAGTATGAAGGCATGGAAAAATAGTCTACCAATAAACTTTTTTTTTTTTTTCTTCACTAGTATAGTAGTGTTTTTAGTGGTGCTCGTGGTATGGAACATTTTATAGTGATTTATCTGATTAAAGTTGGCTTATTCATCAAATATTGCATTAAATTAGAATTTTGGTCATTTATCTAATGAACTGAGTCGAGCTACTAAACGAGAGCTCATATATAAAGTGCTCGGCTCGACTCGAATAATATGCCCACATGAAACACATCATGAGTAGAATACGACTCCATAACAATTAACAAGTCATGCATAATTTCATAAATAAAAATGGAATTATGTAGAGGTGTATGTTCTTGATTGAGCCGATTTTCTTAACTCGCCGTAGATATGAAAGCTAAGAAATAAGATATGATCGCGAAAGTTGTGAAGATATACAAAATTTTAATGATTTGATGTTTTAAACAATCATAAACATGATATTGAAAGGACTTCAGTTACTACAAAATTTCAACAGTATTAGCATCTTTTAAAAAATTATATTTTTAAAAAAAAATATTCATCTATTTTTCTCCATTTATTTATTTATTTCACATAGGAAAAGAGAAGATAAGCCCACCAAAGTCATAATACACTGCAAATTTGCAACGAACATTTCAACGGCACACACACGCGAAATGGGGCAATTTTTTTGACGCCAAAATAAAACAATAAGCCTGCTATTAGAGTCATAGACATTAGACAATTATATTTATTCAATAGACAAATTGTGGACAACATCTTCTTTATTCATTAAAATTATATAATTATATTTATTCAATAGACAAATTGTGGACAACATCTTCTTTATTCATTAAAATTATATAAGTATCAGTTCACAAATAGCCCAATTCTTTTTTTTTGGTAGCCAGCCACGGTATTCGGAGCGTTGCCCCGACTAATCCGTTGGTCGCCCCAGGTCGCACACCTGGCAATGGTGGGTGAGTCTCCCAACAAAAGTTTTCTACATTCACAAAGACTCAAACCCAAGATCTTGCTTAAACGACATCAAGTTGCTTGCCACTTGAGTCAACCCCTGTTGGTCCAAATAGCCCCATTCTTGAATGTGCTTTATTTTTCAATATATGAAAACAAACAACTTGTCACGGAAAGTTCAAAAGATAATTGAATTTTTAGTAAAATTATAAATGGTGGTGATTAAAATACATAATTACTAACTAAAAATTGTTTAAACTCTAGTGTGATTTTCGATATCTTTGGTAAAACTAGCTAATAAGTTAGCATATAGTTATATGTAATTTTTGTGCTTATAATTTATGACTTATAGCTCCAGAGAATCAGACTTGAAAAGTAATAACTAACTTATATAATAAAAGTGTTTAGTAAAGTTAACTGAAATAAAAATTTCAACTAGTTTATCTGAAAAGCTACCTAAAGTAGCTTATGAGATAAGCTCGAGTTTTTTTAAAAAATCTCGTCCTACCAAACGAGGCTTAATGAAATACGAAAAACTTATAAATTAACCAAATAAGCTATAAGCTAACTTTATTTAGCTTAACCATAGCAAAAAATGTATGCAATATACAATCAATCATACTTGCGTTCATGTTACTATTTTCTGATAAAAGTGTGCATATTTTGTAAAATGACAATAATGGCCTAACATAAGACTTAAGATTTACTAATTACTAATTAGGCGAAACATTTATTTGGAGATGTTAAGTTCTCGTTACGGAACCATTCTGTTGGGGTTTGTAACTATTAGATCATCATGTAATCATCAGGAATAAATAATCTAAAACGGTTACAAACCCCGATGAAATGATTCCGTAACGAGACCTCATTTCATTTCATTTGTACTGTACTATTGTTGCATAGCCCATTACACTCTTTACACGCTTCGCCACAAAAGTCGCTGCCACTTAAAATACACGCTTTCCCCATACAGAAA